GTCATACCTCAGTGATAACTACATCAGTGACACCTTCCATAACTAAGTGATAACTATATCATTAACACCTGTCATAACTCAGTGATAACTATACTAATGATACATGTCATAACTCCGTGATAACTACGTTAATGATACATGATATAACTCAGTGATACTTATTCTATTAAACATGTCATAAATCAGTGATAACTTTACAGGTGACACATGTCATAACTCAGTGATGACGACACCATTCCACCTGTGGTGTCTAACTCATTGATAACTATACGAGTGGCACATGTCTTATCTCAGTGATATCTATGCTAGTATCATCTGTCATAACTTAGTAATAAATATTCCAGTGACACATGTTATAACTCTGTGATAACTATACCTTTAACACCTGTTATAACTCAGTGATACATACTAATCATCATACCAATGATGAGACTAATGATACATGTTATAACTCAGTGATAACTATTCTAACGATACATGTCGTAACTCCGTTATAACTATATCATCAACACCTGTCATAACTCGGTGATAACTATACCAGTGATACCTGACAAAACACAGTGATAACAATACTATTAACATCTGTCATAACTCAGTGAATACTATACCAGTGACAAATGGCATAACGCAGTGTTAACTACACCAGTGATACCTCTCATACCTCAGTGATAACTTCTCCAGTGAAATCTGGCATAACTAAGTGACAACTTTACTAGTGACATCTGTCATTAGTCAATGATAACTATACCATGAACACCTGTCATAATTCAGTAATAACTATTTAATTAACACATGTAATAATTCAGTGATACCTATACCATTAACCTTAGTCTGAACTCAGTGATAATTATACCAGTCACACCTGTCATAACTCAGTGATAACTATACCATTAACACCGTTCATAACTCAGTGATAACTATACCATTAACACCGTTCATAACTCAGTGATAACTATACTATTAACACCTGTCATAATTAAGTGATAACTATGCAGTATCATCTGCCATAACTCAGTGATAACTATACCATCAACACCTGTCATAACTCAGTGGTAACTCTTCAATTTACACATATCAATAATCAGTGATATCTATAACAATAACATCTGTCATAATTCAGTGACAGTTATTACAGTGACACCTGTTATAACGCGGTGATAACTAGACCATTAACGCCTGTCATAACTGAGCAATAACTATTCCAGTGACACCTGTCATAACTATACTAGTAACACATGTTATAATTCAGTTATAACTTTAGTATTAACACCTGCCATAACTCAGTAAAAACTATAGCAGTCCCACATGTCATAACTCAGGGACACCTTTTATAACTCAGTGATAATATACTATTAACACCAGTCATAACTCATGGATAACTTTACCAGTCTCACCTGTCATAACTCAGTGATAACTATACCATCAACACCTGTCATAACTCAGTGATAACAATACTATCAACACCTGTCATAACTCAGTGATAACTATACCATCAACACCTGTCATAACTCAGTGATAACAATACTATCAACACCTGTCATAACTCAATAATAACTATACCATCAACACCTGTCATAACTCAGTGATAACTATACCATCAACACCTGTCATAACTCAGTGATAACTATACCATCAACACCTGTCATAACTCAGTGATAATAACAGTGACGGAAGCGTGACCTTGATGGGGGTGGTTGTCCACGATGGAGCCAAGTGGACATGGCTCCATCGTGCACAATGCACGTACACGTGCACCATCATGGGGACATGGCTCCATCGTGCACAATGCACGTGCCCGTGCACCATCATGGGGACATGGCTCCATCGTGCACAATGCACGTGCCCGTGCACCATCATGGGGACATGGCTCCATCGTGCACAATGCACGTGCACGTGCACCATCATGGGGACATGGCTCCATCGTGCACAATGCACGTGCACGTGCACCATCATGGGGACGTGGCCCCATTCCCGGTATTCACTGAGAATAAACTATTAAACAGTTTTCCACATAGACTGTTGTATAAAATTTGGGTCCGTTTGGGTTGAGTTAATGTAAATTGTTTGAGAGCTCGGTTTGAGAGTGTCTTGTAGACCATCGCACGTGAGAGTCTTCGTTTTAAGAACTTTGAAAAGATTTCCTTTTTCCCTTTTTGTTCATGTGGGTTTGTTTCAGTTATGTCTATTTGTATATTTATATCTATAAAAGGCAATGTGTGTGTGTCTTGGAGTCTGGAAGTCATACTCTTGGGGATAGTCCACACCAAACTATCAAGGGTAACTGGTCTTTATCCTAGGATGGTCAAAGGCTGGTCGGGGGTCGAACCCCCCTCCTCTCCATTTAGCATACAATTTTCCAGTCTCGCTAAATAAAGCAGCTCGTGCTCACTAAGATTATAAGGATGAGGCGAGAGTGGTGAAGAGGGAAGCAGATGGTGGAGGGCAACGAAGATGGAGAACGATAGAGAAGATGGTGAATGATAGGGAAGATGAACAAAGCCACAAGGGCCGTGACGAGGATTCGAACCCACGTCCGAGAGTATCCCAGACTCTGCCTTAATCGACTGAGCTACGACATGGTCAGAAGAGTTTAAACCAGAAGGTCTAGAAGAAGTGATTTCTGTGTGCAATGAAGTAAGGGCG